ATATACATCTCAAAAATGTTCTCCTAGGGCAGTCTACCCAAGCAATAGAAATAAAAGCAAGAATAAACAAATGGGACCTAATGAAACTTACAAGCTTCTGCACAGCAAAAGAAACCATAAGAAAAACAAAAAGACAACTTACGGAATAGGAGAAAATTTTTGCAAACGATGAAACCGACAAAGGCTTGATCTCCAGAATATATAAGCAGCTCATACGACTTAATAAGAAACAAACAACCCAATCCAAAAATGGGCAGAAGACCTAAACAAGCAATTCTCCAAGGAAGAAATACACATGATCAATAGGCACATGAAAAAATGCTCAATATCACTAATTATCAGAGAAATGCAAATCAAAAGTATGATGAGGTATCACCTCACACTAGTTGGAATGGCTATCATTCAAAAGTCCACAAATGACAAATGCTGGAGAGGCTGTGGAGAAAAAGGAACCCTCCTATTCTGCTGGTGGGAATGCAGTTTGGTGCAGCCACTGTGGAAAACAGTATGGAGATTCCTCAAAAGACTAGGAATAGACTTAGCATATGACCCAGTAATCCTGCTCCTGGGCATATATCCAGAAGGATGCTGTTATAATCAAGATTTTCATATAATCCATATTCTATTAACAATAATGTCAAGTTACATAATTCGAGTTGTTGTAGCTCTTGGAATTTTTAAACTTAATTTGAACTTGGGGAAACTTTATTCTGCTACAGCAGTAGCAGCTGGAATTGTCAATCAAATTCTTAAAACAATACTCATTTTAGAAAACGAATTGGGGTTTCTGATCTGGCATGTAAAGAGGATAGAAGCCATCACTCTGACCTAACAAGTAAAAGGCTGAACATAAACTGAAAATCAACAACTCTTCTTAGATCTGTCAGAAAATTGAGGTCACAAAGCAAAATCTGCTCCCCAAGTTAGAGAAACAATCATTCAGACATAGAGAATCACACCTTACTGGAGCAGAAACCCATGAGCAGAAACCACCAGGGGAACCACTGTAGGGTATGAAAACCTGAAGTGTAATAGACAAAATACCAGAGATTTAGTGCAGACGACTCTGAGAGTTAAAAACTCCATGCGGACCAAGTCTTGGGGGCATCCCCACACTTTTGTGGGCTTTATCTCCTGAAGCCCTACCAGATTCTTATGGTGGCTATTGAAGAAAAATCCCCTCGTGATTCTTGAAGGGGGAAAAAAAGGAACAATTTTGAAATATGCCTGAGTATTCTGTTCTTAACAAGGCCTGCCATCTAGAGAAATTATCTTACCAGAGCCTAACCTAGCAGAGCTTAATTGACCTGGGGAAGAGAAATACCTACCCCCAGCCCACTCCAGACACACTATCCCATGTAATGGGGATATAAACTGAGGAGGCTTGAAGTTCACAGCCCAAGGCTACACAGGCTCACTAAGAGACTGAGACCTAATCATACGTCTATAGGACGCTTCCCACCCCACCCCCATCTTAGCACCCCATCAGTAAAGCCTTATTTACTGAAGTTTCTTTTACTTGGTATCATGTCTGGCTTTCAACAAAAAGTTACAAGGCATATTATAAAGCAAAAAACACAATTTGAAGAAACAGAGCAAGCATCAGAACCAAAGTTAGATATCGTAGGAATGCTGGAATTATCAGACCAGAAATTTAAAGTAACTATGATTAATATGCTAAGGGCTCTAAATGAAAAAGTAGATAAACTGCAAGAACAGATGAGTAATGTAAGCAGATAAATGGGAATTCTACGAAAGAATTACAAAGATATGCTAAAGATAAAAAGCAGTGTAACAGAAATGAGGACTGCCTTTGATGGGTTCATTAGTAGACTGGACACAGTTGAGGAAAGAACCTCTGAGCTTAAGGACATGTCAGTGCAAAATTCCACAACTGAAAAGCAAAGAGAGACAAAAATGCAATAGAATTTCCAGGAATTCTGGGACAACTACAAAAGCTTAACATATGTGTAATGGGAATACCAGAGGACAACAAAGAGAGAAAGGAAAAGAAGAAATATTTGAAGAAATAAAGACTGAGACTCTACCCCAAATTAATGTCAGACACCAAACCACAGATACAAGCAGCTCAGAGAACACTAAGTGGGGTAAATGCCAGGAAACCAGACCAAACAGAACAAAAACTATACCTGGGCATGTCAAATGTATACTGCAGAATCTTGAAAGAAGCTGGGTTGGGGAACTTACTGATGGAGGAGTAAAGACAAGAATTATATTCTACTGCTCCTCAGAAATCATGCAAGCAAGAAGAGAGTGGAGTAAAATATTTTAAGTGTTAAAGAGAAAAATCCCATGACCTAGAATTCTGTATCCTGCAAAATTATCCTTCAAAATTTAAGGAAGAGTAAGATTTTCCCAAACACCGAGGGAATTTGCTACCTTGCAAGAAATGTCAAAATAAGTTCTTCAGAGAAAAGAAAAATTATATAGGTCAGAAACTTGATCTAATAAAGAAAGGAAAAGGAACAAGTAAAGGCAAAACTAAAACTTTTATTTTTCTTATTCTCAATTGATCTAAGACATAACAGTTCATTCAAAACAGTAATAGCAATTGCATATTCGAAGATTATAGCTTATGTAAAAGTGAAATAGATAACAGTAATGATACAAAGGATGGGAGGGAGGAATTAAGAATGCTTTGTTATTATAAGGCACTTGCACAACTCCTGAAGTAGTATAGTGTTATTCGAAAGTATACTTGGATTCATTGTAAATATATATATTGCAAACTCTAGGGCAACTACTAAAAAAAAAGTTAAAAAAACAAGTATAATTGATATGCTAGGAAAGGAGAGAAAATAGAATCATACAAAAATGCTCAATTAAAACCACAAAAGGCAAGCGGAAGACAAAAATAGCAACAAAGACCAACGGCAATGAATAGAAAACAGTATTAAATGTAGTAGATATTAGTCTAAGTATGTCAATAATCACTTTAAACATCAATGGTACAAATACAGTAGTCAAAAACTTACTTCCCCACAGAAACCTGTCCTTAGATGTTTATAACGGTTTAATTCATGATAGCTATAACTTGAAATCAGTCAAGATGTCCTTCAGTAGGTGAATAGATAAATAAACATGGTACATCCAGACAATGGAATATCATTTATCACTAAAAAGAAATCAGCCATCAAGCCATGAGAAGACACAGAGGAATATTACTAAGTGAGAGGACCGTCTGAAAAGGCTACATACTTTGGGAAAGACAGTGCATGACATTCTGGAAAAGACGAAACTTGGCGACAGTAAAAAGAGCTGGTATTTGCCAAGCGTTAAGAGGAAGGAGGGCTGAATAGGCAGAGCACCTGAGATGTTGTGGGGCACAGTAGGTACTAAACTAGGTAGACTTCTAAAGTAGCTGAACTTTCTATTACGGTTCTGCATAAAACCAGCAAAACCATAGGACCTGCCAGAGCTGGACTCCCATTGCCACCTGTGTGCCTCAGGTTGGTGATAAGACTCCTTGAATTAATAAAAAGGATTTTATCTTAGGACAGACACCCTGGAAGTTACCCACATTCCAACTAAGGTCACTTGGGCAATTGACGTTACAGAGCAAACTGGCCCCGTTAGAAAAATTCTTGGCTCCTGAAATTCGAAATGAATTGGGTTCTTTTAAAGGAAGCTTTATCTGGGTATCAGCAAGAGCTTCAAAAAGTCCTTCTAGTTTGAACCCCGCTGGACGGCCCGTGAGAGACGGCAAGGTGGAGCGGGCTTCCCCGCCCGCCCGACAGCCGGACCAGGCACGACGACACCGTTCACCCCAGCCCGCCAGAGCCACGCCCGGCCGGCTCAGTGCGGGCGGGGCCGGGCGGAGAGCCAGGCCCGCCG